AGCCACAGCAATCTTGAAAAAGAAGAACAAAGTTGGAGAGATCACATTACCAGATTTCAGGTTATACTACAAAGCCACTGTAATCAAAACAGCCTGAGACTGGCACAAGAACAGGCAGATAGATCAGCATAAGAACCAGAAATGGACCCAAGACAATATGCTCAATTAATATTTGACAAAGGAGGCAAGAGCATACAGTGGAGTAAAGACAGCCTCTTTAATACATGATGTCAGGGAAACAGGAGAGCTATATGCAAAAAAATTGAAATTAGACCATTAACTTACACCATACACAAGATTAAACTCAAACTGGATAAAAGACTTAAATGTGACTCATGAATCCATAAAAATCCTAGAAGAATATGTAGGCAACAAAATTTCAGACATCATACATAGCAGAATTTACTGATACATCACCTAATGCAACAGAAACAAAGGGGAAAATGAACATATGGGACTACTTCAAACTCAAAAGCTCTGCACAGCAAAAAAAACCCACCACCAAAATGGAAACCCATCCCACTCTTTGGGAAAGCATAATTACCAATGATATATCAGATAAGGGGTTAATTTCCAAATATATAGAGTACTCGTACAACTCAACCAAAGGAAGACAAAGATCCCCATTAAAAAATGGGCAGAGGAACTAAATAGACACCTCTTCAAAGAGAACATACAAATTGCTGAGATATATGAAGAAATGCTCAACATCACTCATCATCAGAGAGATGCAAATTAAAACAACAATGAGGTATCACCTCACACCTGTCAGAATGGCCACCATCAACAAACCATCAAAGAACAAGTGTTGATGAGGGTGTGGAGAAAAGGGATTCTAGTACACTGCTGGTGGGAATGCAGACTGGTGTAGCCACTATAGAAAACAATATGGTGTTACCTCAAAAAATTAAAAATTGAACTGCCATTTGACCCAGTGATCCCACTTTTAAGAATATACTCTAAGAAGCCTGAAACACCAATCAGAAAGAATATATGTACATACACCCATGTTCATAGCAGCAGTATTTGAAATAGCAAAGATCTGGAAACCGCCCAAATTTCCTTCATTAGATGAATGGATAAAAAAGCTGTGGTACATATACACAGTGGAATACTATGCAGCTCTAAGAAAGAAAGATCTCTTATACTTTGAGACAACATGGAGGAACTTGGAGAGTATTATCCTAAGCAAAACAAGCCAAGCAGAGGAAGACAAATATCACATGATCTCACTTATTTGTGGAATATAATGAACAGAATAGTCTGAGGAATGGGTAGTCCCAGAGATGTGGAAATGGGGTACAGACTGACAATCCCCAGAAGAGGTGTTAGAAGCAGAGAGATAAACCACAGAACTTATTTGCATGTATGCATGAACAATGGACATGGACAACAAAGCTGGGGCAGAGCGGTGAGGGGCAGAGAGGCGATATCAGTTGGGGAAAAGGGAGAAACATCTGTAACAAAATTAAGTAATTAATTAATTAAATAAAATAAAATAAAATAAAATCATCCCTTTGTTGAAAAATGCTAACTTGTATCATTAGAAATATAGAATCATAAATGTCTGAATGGCATGGAGGTAATAGTCTGAATCCCCATTCATCAATGGTGCAGTATGTGGACAAATAGCAAAACAGTCTACTCTAGTTGGTCTTTGAAATAATTTACTATTATAAAGCACATATAACTTCTATCTGTAAAATATGAGTCAATAGATAAGTCTTTTATTTTTTCATTACTATTAAGGAAATCAAAACAAAAACCTAGAACTGGATCTCCAATGCATGGGACATTTTTCCTAGATGTTGAGACCAAGAAAAGGAGCCTTGAACTGGCCCCAGAGAGCTCAGAGGGTCTTCCATACATGTTTCTTTACCATGAAAACCTGTAGTTAGAAGGAATGTAAAGGAAGGAAATATTCTGCTTTCCCGCAAAAAAATCACGTGCACCTTCTAATATGAACAAAATAAACCCCTTATAAAGCAGCAGAAGCAGTCTTCATTTGTAGTGTCACTGAAAAATATTTTCAGGCTGGGAAGAATTTTTTCAAGATATTTGTAAACCATCTATCCTAACAAAAGAAAAATGTGTTTTGTGTTCTTGTTTGTTTCAGATCACTTCATTATACCTGATGATGAATATGTTTTTAATTAAAGCTTGGGCACAAAATTGTGTTTACTGAGTCATTGTGATGCCTGATTACTCCCCTGAGATACCCACCATCAATGATACTGATGCTAACTCTTGACACCCAAGGCCACTTTGTGTATTCAGTGGTTAGAAAGGTGATTTCTGAGGCCTGGCAGCTGTTGGTGTTAAAGCTATTGTGTGGAAACAAAAGCCATTCTGTTCTGTTCCCCAGCTGCCTTTGTATCATTGATACAGGAGCTGTTTCATAAATGGGATATGATTATTTATCAGGAAATTTCATTACTGCCCATACACTTCTGGATAGCAGAAGGCGATGTCTGAACAAGCTCCTATGGAAGGAATTTGGGCTGTGACCTCTGTTAAGATGCTTGCATTTTAATTTTGTTAATTAGACCTACAATTAGATGCCATCATACCAACGACTATGCTTCCTAATTTCCTTTCCCTAAACCACCATACCTAAGGCTGGCTAGTGTGTAGTTGCTGCCAGCCTGCTTGTCTTAATCAGAACACAGTGCATGGTAGCACCAACATATACTAGTATTAACTAGTTTTTTCACAGAATTCCTTGTTGACCTGTCCTGGCAAATTATTATAGAGCATATAAGAGTGATATTTATTTGAAGAACAGATACTTTTCACCCAGATGGTATATTCATTATTATCATTTAGAAAGGGTATCAGTTTACAGTTTTCAGTTGCATATGGAAGAAGCAAACTGGCCTAAACAATCAAGGAAATATGGTAGGCTGTGTTGTTCTCCCAGCCATTCCTCCTTTCTTGGACTGTGACCTTGCTATAAGACTTTGAGGTTCCTCTCACTGCAGGTGAATCTACTTCCTCATCTCATGGAAGTTAGGCTTAGCCACATAACTCATGCTTTGACCAGGCTGAAGAAGTATTGCTTCTTCTCACTTTTTACTCTTCTACTGTTGCCATGAAAAGATATCACTCATCAAAAATGATGAGAGGTGTGAGGCCAATCTGGAATCTGCAGATTGGAGCCAAACCCAGCTGAATCCAGCATATACCAGCCTACTTCCAACTGACCCAGTATTGCATGAGTGAGATAGATTATAGTTCTTTTAAGCCAGCGTTCAAATGTTTTAGGGTGGTTTGTTAAGCAGCACTATTGTGGCAACAGCTGACTGATATTTATTGCTCATATAACTGAAGAGTCCAAAGGTATCATGGGCTTTGGGTAGGGTTTGAAAGGAATTCATGTTTTATTTCTCTGTGATGTTCTTGGAGCTTCAATCCAGGATGGTTCCCTCTTGGTGGTATGGTGACTATCATTTCAGGCTTCACATGTGTACCTGGTACCATCTGGAAAGCAAAAGGCTTCACTTTTCCAAAAGTCCTGGTCTTCACTATGATCAGGTCAAAGTAAATCATGTGTCTATTCTGGGCCAATTGTTGAACAAGGAGTTGTTGGATTATTTGACTTGATTTATGTCAATCAGAGTCTTCTTTTAAAGATGGGAGTGGGTTCAATCTCTTTCAAAATCTGTGGTGTGCTTCATTAAATGTGGGAGTGGGGGTGTAACAGATGCTGAGAGACACCAACAGTGTTAATTATGGAGTCCAAAATCTCTAAACTTTGTTTTCAATTTCTATTAATTAATCGACTCTAGACACTTTTCTACCTCCATGTTGCTTGGCTAGCTAGAAGTAGAGTGAAGAGATTTATCTTCTAGAGCTCACCTGTTATCTGGTAAATGGCAAAGCATGTGGCCATACCCATGCCACCTCATGCACTGGAAGCTGAGAGCCCAGCTTTACACAGGACTTGACAATTAGCCCACTAGTCTCCCTACTCCTGGTATTGCAGGATTTTAAGAAAATTAAAAATAAATTTGACTTACTAGAATTAGAAGACCTCTGACATAGAGGATGAGTTAATGCCAATGTAACGAGAACTTAACCAAGTAGGATCCATTGGTAAGGATGTTATTCCACTGACTTCTACACTCCATTGTTTCTGATGAGAAGTCAGCTGTAATTCTTGTTATTGTCCAGATACATAGTAAGCATCAAATACAAATATGTGTTGAATTAATGAATAAAAAATAAAAACAGTCTTTAATACAGCTTAATGTTCTTCCAAGAATATCCCACCACCTCTTTAAAAACTTTTATTTGTAGATTTAATGCTCCCCACATGCACACAAGCTTCTTCAAGAATGTAAATCAAACGAATTATCAACCCAATCTATGTATTGCAAACATAGACACTAAAGTGATCATTAGTCACTTTCTGTGCTTCTAAGAATCCTCCCTGAATAACCTTTGTCATCCAACATGTTATTTTTTTTAACAAGTATTTATATGTGGTTCTATAAATATTACTGGACACCTGCTGTACATACAGTACTGTGTTAAGTAGAGTGAAGGATACAGAATTACATAAAAGATAATAATTGCTTTCAAGTACTCAGCTATTATAACCTAATTGTTATTCAGGTTTCAGGGAAACCTTGGACAGCAGAAAGACTTGGGACCTTTCATGAAACTCTAAATTCTCAGGCAGCAACTTGTTTGTCTTCTTGTGGGATTATTTACCTATTGTCTCTAATCATAAAGGGTCTATATGAAACATCCATCAATATTAGGACAAAAATGACCTAAACCAAGAATTTTGATGTGAATCAGCTTAGGTATTAGGTATATTTTTATATTCTAACGCTAATATCTTAAAAATACCTCCCCATATATTTCACCATGGCTGTGCACTATTTAGGTCCATTTGCTGATAATGGTTAAATAATTCCATGTAATTTTCAATTTGAGAGTGCAGATTTAGCTATATTTTCCTCAAGTCCCTCTTTTTGTATTTTTTTTTCCAGTTGAGTTATGCCTTGTACCATACAAACAGAAAATTAACGCTGGAACCTAAAATAACTGTTAATGCCAGGATTGTTGTGGTTGGCGCATCCAATGTTGGAATTTCCTTCCTAGAGACATTGGTTTTTTGGTGAGTTGTTTTACTTTATTTGTTTTTAAAGGTACCTTTTCTTCCTCACCTGAGAAAGTCCCTTGAAAGAACAGACCTGAGTTTGCCACCCCACACACCTTGGAATATTCTATACCAAGGGTTGGCAAACTATAGCCCCCAGATCAAATCTGGTTGTATGCCTGCTTTTGGAAATAAAGCTTTATTGGGACATAGACACATTTATTTATTTTTGTGGTGGTGTCTGTGACTTTTCTTTTATAGCAGCAGATTTGAGTAGCTGCAACAGAGACTATATGGCTTTTAGTGTCTAAAATACACTGTGACCCTTCCCAGAACAAGTTTGCCAACCCCTATTCTATGCTAGTGTTTCCTTTATTGGCCAGATCATAGGCATTATGCGTATCATCTTTTACAGATGTAGCTTTCCAGACCCCACACCAGACATCCTGAATCAGAAACTCCCAAGGAGGGTTCTGGAAACCTGTATGTTAACAGATGCTCCATATAATCAGGCTGGTTTGGGAACCCGTTTTGACTTTCTACATCACAGATAGGCTTGCAGAAATGGCAGACAGGCCAGGACTTTCCTTCCAACCCCTGCATTTTAGGTGCCAGGGAACAGAATGAAATCCTGCAGGGAAGACTGATGCCTGCACTTCTCTTTGATGCTGTTTTCTATTATCCTCAAAGCACTAAACAGGGGAAGCTGATAATCCCTTGACTAGCTCTCCACACACTTACTGAATCTCAGCAACTCTTTCCCAAGAAGAGCCCTGGGTTACTGTCCAAGTATTTGGGTTTATAGCCTGACATTGCCACCCCCTGACATGGAATCCTAGATGTATTGCTTAATATCTCTCAGACTCAGTTTCCTCATTTATTTTTTAAAAGTTTCATAGACCCTGACTTTGCAGATCTACAGATTGCTGAATTAAAAGAATCCAGTTTTTACCAAAATTTTTGCTCAGTATTACATGAGAACTTTAGCTACTGTTTAAAACTACAGGTGCAAAGAGGCAAGTGGAAGATGAGAAAATGCAGCCCCACCATGACTCCTCCAGAAGTCAGCAAAACTGTCATGGGTGAGACAAGGAAAGGGATGGAGAAAATGTCCCCTAAAATGTGCTTATGCCTGGTTGATATTGAGATGAGTTAACCCCAAATGATTATTTTGCTCATTTGATATCATCTTGACCAGATGAAGATATTTTTTACTTTCTAGCCAATTTGTTCAGTTATCCAGAACATATCCTTAGTTAACCAGAAATAAGTCAAATGTCATTATTGAATATAGGAACAGAGTTTATGGCAATTAACTATTGTGGTCAGTCTACAGCCATCTTTTATTACAGAAGGATATAATGAGAGGCACCAGAGATACCCATTATCTTCTGTGTGTCACACCATAGTTTGAGGGTTACATTTGTTCTGATGGGTCTCTTTATTTAAGACTGAGTAGCAGTTGTTTGCAACCATTTTTGAATGATGAATTACCAGAGTAGGATTGTAAAATTATAGTAGTCGAGAAGCTATCATGAACAGATCTTAAAACTATTTTTTTTTAATTTGAGAGTACATTTATTAAAGCTGGGGAGAGTGAAACAAGGAAGGGGTTAGGGTAGAAAAAGCAACCAGAGAGAGCCCAGGCAGGGATGCTTTGGCTCCCTAGAGATGTTACAAGAAAGAAGCGAGCCAAGTCAGGGCTGCTGTTGGCTCACTAAAAGTCAGAGAAAAGGGGACTTTGGAAACGGTTTCAGGGGTCAGCCCAGGAGAGCTGTGGCTGCCCATTGCTCCTCTGGTTGCAAATCTTGTGAGGACCCTTAGAGCTTAGGGATGAAAAGCACACTGGAAGGAAAGAAAGGTGTGGGCGTGCTCCTGGGAAGGAGAGTGACAACACATATTTTAATTTAGCTATATTCTTAGTCATTATGTTTCATTTAAATGAGTTCATTAATACATATACATATAATTTTCTTTCTGTGGAATCAACTTAGATTTAGTAAAGACACATATAAACTTTAATATCAGTAACTGGTTGATTAAATTTCTCAATCAAGAAGACTTTTTAAAAGCATTTTACAGTACTCATATTCTCTATCATCATTACACAGAATACATACACTAAAAATAGATTGGTATCAGTTTACGGATCTCTAATCCTTGAGAGAGGAAATCATTTTCTCATTATTTTCTCTAATTATTTTAAATTAGCAATCACCATAGTAACCTGATGCATATTTTACTGTACCAGTTTAACTGCCATTTGAACTGGATTTTATAAATTATTTGAGCTAGAATGAAATTGAAGAAACACAGTTTGCACCAAATACTGACCCACAGTAAAGATTAAATTCACATTTTGGGGGCAAGATTCAGAAAAATACTCCTTCTTATGCTCCTGCACTGTATTATCTAACTTAGCTGGGACATCACAACTGGAAAATCTGTTTGAGGTTCAGTACAGCAATTTCTTTTTCCAGAAGATCTGGTCATCCTCTCATCTGGTGACAAGAGACACACTCTTTGTTTTTATCTTATTTACATGCAAAAAAATTACAAGACACATTTGGTCTCCTCTTCAAAGGACAGGGAACACAGTCCTTGCATAAATTATTTGCTCTTGTCATATCCTTTCCATAAGTGCTGAGGTGATACTGGGGAGCTGGCGTGACTTACCCAAAGTCACCAACTTATCAACTAAGATGTGGGGAGGGAATATTGAGGGTGATGTTTTTGATTTTTTTTTTTTTTAATGCAATATTTTGTCTGGTCCTCATCTGCTACCATCCACAGTTACATATGCACAGACACACCTGTTTTACTTTGGCTGTCATGCTTCTGAGTCACCTGGCATCTTTTTCTTATTCTTACTAGGACAAGGCCTCTTGGGCCCTCCAGTATCAGTGACATGTGTGACAGGTATTTCCCTGCAGACACACACTGGTATGCTCTATGGTTCTCCCCATCTTCCTGGTCCTGGTGAATTCTACAGAGCGGGGCTGAGTAGTTGCCCTGCCCTTACTTAGAGCTTCCGCTGTCTCCATTGACCCTATCAGGGCCATTGACTGGCTGATGGAGAAGGACAGGGCTTCAGGGTAATTAAGACTGGGGTGAGTCTTAAATAATGTATCCCACCCCCACACATACAGGTCTTGTGTATTTGTCTTTTGAGGGTACTATGCCCGAGCAACTCCATGGGGAGCCTTTTTAGGGACGGTCACAGCAGAAACCCCCATGGTTCCTGCCAACTCAAAGGTGCTGTCACCCCAAGAATTCCACTAACCATATTGCAGGTTTAAAGGGAATTCCCTATTCTCAGACAGACAGCCAGGTCCAGAGGTGAGCTTCTATCCTCTAAAAGCTCTTTCTAGAAAGCAAGAGTCCTCTTTTCACCAAGCTGAGAGTCATATTTTTACCAGTCACTTTGTGCACCAACTCTAGACCTGCTAAACTCCCTACATGCAATACTTTGAATACTTTAGGCTTTCCAGAGAATAACTTCAACATTATTTTTTAAAGGAAATATGGGAAAGCTATACCAAAAAAAGGGCAAGAATTAAGTCTCTGGATGTGTTTTATGGCCTTTTCACTCACAGGTTGATCTGTGGACCAACGATATCAATATCATCTGAGAGCCCCTTAGAATGGCAGAACCTCAGACCCTGCCATGGACAGTGGCCCAAAGAGAGAGTTTCATTCCCAAAATTATACAGAACAGATTCTTTTGTATCTCTTGGGCATGAAATGGCTGAACTGAAGCAGTTACTATTTTATTCTGTTTCAGCTGGCTCGTGTCTGTGCTTCTGTGTATTATATTATTTTGACCTAATTATGAAGCAGTTTCTTTTAATCCATTATTTAGAAAATTTTTCTAATTCAATTCTTATATGAAGAATCTCTTGAAGAGCCTGTAATGGCACTAAGAAAATGCATCAATGTATCCTAGGATGATGTGACTGAAAGCAGCCCTGGGTGATGTTCTGATGACATTTTGTGTGACTAGAGAAATAGACACTTAGATTCCCAGAAAGCGCTGGTGGGCCCTTAGGCCCAAGCTCACCTTGTCTTTCAGTTCTACCACCAGAATCTACCACTCTCATCGAAGGATGAAGTCTCCAATTCTCCATCTAGACATTGATCCCTCATCTGGTAACTAAAAATAGCTTGAAATTTAAGTAGGGCATGTTTGCAAAGCTACAATTGAGTCCGGATGACCAGAACTCCTGTTTTTCGGCCACCTGGTACCGTACAATATTGTATGTAGCTGTGGGGCCTGGCAGGATCCAGCTGAGTACTTAATTAGGCTTTTTATCTTTACACTTGTCTGGAGATATCTGAAACTTTCAATTTGGCCTGTCAGTAATTAGATGACTAATTAAATAGTTAATGCTTATTTGCTGATCTCAGAGTGAAACCCCAATGAACAGGTTAGTGATTATCACTGTTCCCGAAACTAGTATTGGCCTCTGCCACATGAATTGATGAACATGTGCCCTCTGATGGCCTTTTTGGTACAAGGGAAAATGCAGCACAGCATCTAGGCCCCATGGCACATGCAGTGCTACTCTCATCTGTGCATTGGGAGGAGGCAGAGATAAAAAAGGCAGGTCGAATCTCATCACATTTTATGTTGGTATCACAACTGGACCTATCAGGGGCTAATACAGAAGCTGTTTTGTGGCTGGGGTGGGAGTGAGAGGGTGGGGACAGTTATGTCAGGTTCAGATGCCCAATCTCCCCAGGCAGAAGAACCTGACATTCTGCTACCAGAAAATAATGACCTGGGACTCTCCCCAGTGTGGCTAGTCACAATTGAGCTTTCTAATCTGAATATAATATTTAAATGTATTTGATATTAAGTGGAAGTGTCTCTACTGAAATCATTCATTTCTGCTCAGTTCAAAATAACTTTATTTCCAATTACCCACTTTAGAGATTCCCAGAACCAAAGAAAAGCAAGACTCAGAGCAGCATTAGGCCTCTTTTGGAATCAGCTTATGATCATTTTCTGTGCATTA